CCGGCCCCATTTCCTGCCCTAGATCTTCACCCCCCCGCCCCCAGGCTGCCTTTCCTCATTTCTAGGAGGACCATGGGCAGAGCCAAGTGCTGGAGCACACGTGTGCTGGGTCGTGGGCATGGCCACGTGTGCATGGCTGCGTGTACTGGGTCGTGTGTGCTGGACTATGTGCATGACCATGGGTGCATGTCTGTGTGCTGGGCCACGTGTGCTGGGCCGTGTTTATGGCTGTGTGTGCTGGGCTGTGTGTCCGTGGCTCCATGGGTTGCAGGGGCTGAGCCAGATGTGCTTGGCTGCGTGTACTGGGCCACGTGTGTGCATGACTGTGTGTGCATGTCTGTGTGCTGGGCCACGTGTGCTGGGCCGTGTTTATGACTGTGTGTGCTGGGCTGTGTGTCTGTGGCTCCATGTCCTGGGTTGCATGGACTGGGCCGAGTGTGCATGGCTGCGTGTACTGGGCCACGTGTGTGCATGACTGTGTGTGCATGTCTGTGTGCTGGGCCATGTGTGCTGGGCCGTGTTTATGACTGTGTGTGCTGGGCTGTGTGTCCGTGGCTCCATGTCCTGAGTTGCATGGGCTGGGCCGAGTGTGCATGGCTGCGTGTACTGGGCCACGTGTGTGCATGACTGTGTGTGCATGTCTGTGTGCTGGGCCACGTGTGCTGGGCCATGTTTATGGCTGTGTGTGCTGGGCTGTGTGTCCGTGGCTCCATGGGTTGCAGGGGCTGAGCCAGATGTGCTTGGCTGCGTGTACTGGGCCACGTGTGTGCATGACTGTGTGTGCATGTCTGTGTGCTGGGCCACGTGTGCTGGGCCGTGTTTATGACTGTGTGTGCTGGGCTGTGTGTCCGTGGCTCCATGTCCTGGGTTGCATGGGCTGGGCCGAGTGTGCATGGCTGCGTGTACTGGGCCACGTGTGTGCATGACTGTGTGTGCATGTCTGTGTGCTGGGCCATGTGTGCTGGGCCGTGTTTATGACTGTGTGTGCTGGGCTGTGTGTCCGTGGCTCCATGTCCTGGGTTGCATGGGCTGGGCCGAGTGTGCATGGCTGCGTGTACTGGGCCACGTGTGTGCATGACTGTGTGTGCATGTCTGTGTGCTGGGCCACGTGTGCTGGGCCATGTTTATGGCTGTGTGTGCTGGGCTGTGTGTCCGTGGCTCCATGGGTTGCAGGGGCTGAGCCAGATGTGCTTGGCTGCGTGTACTGGGCCACGTGTGTGCATGACTGTGTGTGCATGTCTGTGTGCTGGGCCATGTGTGCTGGGCCGTGTTTATGACTGTGTGTGCTGGGCTGTGTGTCCGTGGCTCCATGTCCTGGGTTGCATGGGCTGGGCCGAGTGTGCATGGCTGCGTGTACTGGGCCACGTGTGTGCATGACTGTGTGTGCATGTCTGTGTGCTGGGCCACGTGTGCTGGGCCATATTTATGGCTGTGTGTCCGTGGCTCCATGTCCTGGGTTGCAGGGGCTGGGCCAGATGTGCTTGGCTGCGTGTGCTGGGTCAGGTGTGCTCGGCCACATTTGCATGTGACGTTCCGTGTGTGCATGGCTGTATGCTGGGCTGCATGTGCTGGTCCATGCGTGTGGCTTCGTGGGCATAGCTGCATGTGCATAGTCGTGTGTGCTTGGTTGTGTGTGCTGGGTCATGTGTGCATGGCTGCGTGTGCCGGGCCACATGTGTGCTAGGTTATGTGTGCTGGGCCACGGGGGCTGGGCTGCGTGTACTGGGCTGCTGTGCTGGGCCACGTGCGCTCGGCCGCGTGTGCTGGGCACATGTCCCAGAGCAGGCGTGTGCCGGGACGGGCCCAGTACCCGGAAGTATGCCTGTGACCTCAGCTGCTGCTTTCTGCCATCCGAACTCTCACCGGTGGTGCTCAGGGATGGGGCTCTGGGAGGCAGGTGCTGCAGCCCCCTGAGTCCTAGCCCTCCGACACTCCCCTTCTTGGAGCCTCTGAGCCACCGCCATGGGGGCGTGTGGCGCCAGGGCTCGGCCCACTTCTCCCCCACGCCTGCTCCCTCTGTCTTGCTCCAACCGGCCTCGCCACCTCCAGAGGTCTTGGTCTCGTCCTCAGCCCCTTCGGGGTGCAGTTCCACGCTGGGCAGCTCAGAGCAGTGGTCTTATACTGTCCCTTACCCACCCACCCACCCACCAGGTCAGACACACAGCTTTCATTTGGCCCCTTCACCAGCCGTCGCAAACCTGATTTACTTATGGACGAGGCAGCGGAGGCTCAGAGAGGTTAAGCGACTTACCTCAGATCGCACAGCAAATAAATGATAGAACTGAGGTTCCAAGCCCTGTTGCCTGCTTGACAGAGTGTCCTCGTCCCCTCCCCCCAAGCCGGCTGCAGTAGCTCCAAGCTGGGGTCATCCAGCCCCTCCCTAGGGCTCTGGGATGTCCTGGGCCGCAGGAGACTTCCTCAGAGAAGCCCTACAGATGGGACTGGCGTGTCCCTTGCCGTGGCTGTGAGAACAGACCCGGGCCGGGGTCACTGAGTGAGCCTGGGACGGTGGCCCAGAGCTGCCTCCGACCTCCCAGACCAGGCCCTGGTCCCTGTGCCTCCGAGTCCTGTCAAAGGTCTCCTGGAGGGAGCCCCACAGGCCCTGCGGCTGCTCTGGGCGTGACTGGCCGAGTGCCGTCCCAGGGGTGGAGGTGGGCCTGGGCCCCTTGGGCACGGGTGTCCTATCGAACAGGCCCTCTCCTGTCAGGGCTGATGTGCTGCTTGTAGGAAGCCTTCCTTCCTCTTCCTGTTCTTGTTTCTGGACCACACCCAGCAGTGCTCAGGGCTGACTCCTGGCTCTGCGCTCAGGGTTTGTCCTGGTGGGCTCAGGGGACCATAGGAGGGGCCAGGGATGGACCCCAGGCTGGCTGTGTGCAAGGCGAGTGCCTGACCTACTGTGACACCTCTCGGCCCCAGGGAGCCCTTCACTGATGGGAGCCACTTCCAGGCCTGTCCTGGAGGCTTGCAGCTCTTGTACAATGCTCTGGTTTTTTTTTTCTTTTTTGGGTCACACCCGGCGATGCACAGGGGTTCCTCCTGGCTCTGCACTCAGGAATTACCCCTGGCGGTGCTCGGGGGACCCTATGGGATGCTGGGAATTGAACCCGGGTCGGCCGCGGGCAAGGCAAATGCCCTCCCCGCTGTGCTGTCGCTCCAGCCTCAATGCCCTGGGTTCGATCCCCAGGCACCAAGCAAGACGCAGGACCATCGAGAGCCCTGGTTTCCTGACACCATTTGTTCCTGCAGGGACGGTCCGGGCCCTGGGCTGGAGGCCGACTGAGTCCCACCCTCAGGGAACTCACGTCCCCAGTGAGAGTGAAGGAAGGGACTAAGCGAAAATGCAGCGTCCCAGATGCAGCCCGTGATAGTGCCGCAGGGCGGGCAGGGGGCAGGGAAGGGGGAGTGCTGGGTTTTGCAGTTTCCCATAGGGTGGTCTTCCTCAAGACTAAGGTGACACCTGAGACTTGGGGAGGGGACCAGCAGGTGCAGCGGGAGGAGTGTGGGAGACGGAAGAGGCAGGAGGGACCGTGCCACAGGGACTGGCCAGAGGTCACTACCTGGTGGGGCTCTGGGCTAGAGACAGTGGCCGGTGGCCGAGGGATGGGCAGAGGGGATGGATCTGCCCCTGGCCGTGTGGGTGGGCGGGGCAAGGGACGGCCCCCGGGGTCCACACGTGTACACACACACACACACACACACACACAAACACACGCACGCATGCAGGGCTGCGCTCTGACCCTCGGGCCGGCCTGGCCGTGCCATAGGTTCTGATTGAAGAGCTCTGACTGTGAGCTGGAAGCGGACTGTGGTGGGGCAGGCTCTGGAACATTCAGGAATGTTCTCCTTCTGGAAGCCAGCCTGGTAAGGGGGGGTCAGTGAGGTGATGACTGGAGGGCGTGTATGAGGTCAGGTCACCGCCGGGTGGGGGAGAGAGAGAGAGAGAGAGAAGCGTCCAGGCTGACCCCCAGGCTTTGGTTGTGGTGGGGGTGCTGGCCAGCTCCAGCGACTCGGGGTGGGGGGGTATCTGCCTGTCCTGGGGGCTGAGTGGGCATCGGTCTGTCCCAGGGGCTGAGGGGGCATTGGCTGTCCTGGGGACCAAGGGGATGTCTGTCTGTCCTGGGGGTTGGGAGGGTATCTGTCTGTACTGGTGGTGGGAGGGCGTCTGTCTGTCCCGGGGACCGAGGGGCCATCTGTCTGTCCTGAGGACCAAGGGGGTATCTGTCTCTCCGGGCAGAGGGCATCTGTATGTCCTGGGTACCAAGGGGGTGTCTGTCTGTCTGGGGCTGGAGGGCATCTCTCTGTCATGGGGACCGAGTGGGCATCTGTCTGTCCTGGGGGTGGGAAGGCGTCTGTCTGTCCCAGGAACCGAGGGGGCATCTGTCTGTCCTGGGGACCAAGAGGGCGTCTGTCAGTCTGGACTGGAGGGCATCTCTCTGTCATAGGTACCAAGTGGGTGTCTGCCTGTCCAGACCAGAGGGTGTCTGTCTGTCCTGGGGACTGAGGGGGCATCAATTTGTCCTGGGGACCAAGGGGACCTCCATTTGTCCGGCCAAGGGAGTTTGTCTGTCCGGGGCGGGGGCGTCCTCCATCTGCCCTGGGGACCAAGGGGGTATCTGTCTGTCCTGGGGGTGGGAGGGTGTCTGTCTGTCCTGGGGACCAAGGGGGCATCTGTCTGTCCTGGGGACCAAGGGGGCGTCTGTCTGTCCTGGGGACCGAGGGGGCATCTGTCTGTCCTGGAGACCAAGGGGGCATCCGTCTGTCCGTCCGAGGGCATCCGTCTGTCCGGGCTGAGGGCGTCTGTGGGTCCGGGGCGGGGGCGTCCATCTGTCCTGGAGACCAAGGGGGTGCCTGTCTGTCCCGGGGACCGAGGGGGCATCAGTCTGTCCTGGGGACCAAGGGGGCCTCCGTCTGTCCGTCCGTCGGTTCGTCCCGGGTTGGGGGCGTCCGTCTCCTTCGCCCCTTCGCCTCTCACCCGCCTCCCTCCCCTGTCCTGCCCGCAGGGAGCCCGCGCCCGCCGCCACCATGGCCTCGCGCATCGGGCTGCGGATGCAGCTGATGCGGGAGCAGACGCAGCAGGAGGAGCGGCGGGAGCGCATGCAGCAGCGCGCGGCCCTGCACTACATGCAGCCGCCGCCGCCGCTGCCACCTACCCCCGGCCATCAACACGCCCGTCCACTTCCAGTCGCCGCCGCCCGTGCCCGGGGAGGTGCTGAAGGTAGGTCGCGGCGCGGCGCGGCCCGGGAGCGCCCACCCGCCGCCCGCCCGGCGCCCACCGCCCCGCGCCCCGGCCCACGCGCTCCCCGCCTGCCCGCAGGTGCAGTCCTACCTGGAGAACCCCACCTCCTACCACCTGCAGCAGTCCCGCGACCAGAAGGTGCGCGAGTACCTGTCCGAGACCTACGGGAACAAGTTCGCGGCGCACATCAGCCCCGCGCAGGGCTCCCCGAAGCCGCTGCCCGCCGCCGCCTCCCCGGGCGTGCGCGCCGGCCACGTGCTGTCCTCCTCGGCCGGCAACAGTGCGCCCAACAGCCCCATGGCCATGCTGCACATCGGCTCCAACCCCGAGCGCGAGGTGAGTGGGTGCGGGGTCCCCGGTGCCCGGGGAGCCCCGGTCCCCCGGAATGTCACCCTAGTTTGGCTCTTTTGCTTTGTGGGTCACGCCCGGCGATGCACAGGGGTCACTCCTCGCTCTGCACTCAGGAGTCACGCCTGGTGGTGCCCCGGGGACCATATGGGATGCTGGGAATCGAACCCGGGTCAGCCGCGTGCAAGGCAAACGCCCGACCTGCTCTGCTATTGCTCCAATTCCTGTCAGCCTAGTTTGGGAAGCGGCTCAGGAGAGCGGGCCGGTCAGCCGGTCAGCAGAGCCTCCCGAGGTGGACAAGTCTCCAAGCCCTGTGCCCAGTGCAGCTCCCGGGGTACAGCCGGGCCTCTTTGTTCCCGCGGGCACTGTGCCCTCCTCACACGCGCTCTTGTGTTTCAGTTTGACGTCATCGACAACATCATGTGTCTGGACAATGTCTTGGGCTTCATCAATCCCGAGGCCCAGATGCCCAACACGGTAGGGGGGGTTGGGGGGGTGGGCAGGGGGGGTGGGGGGGTGGGCAGGGAGGGCGCTGAGCCGGCCCGGCGGGGGTGGCAAACCCTGGGATGGCACATGGGAGACGCGCCCCTCAGCCCCTGAGTGGGAGTCACTCCTGCCAGTGCCTCTGGGCTGTGGGTCCCCGCCGGGTGCCCGGGCCTCCATCTGTAGCTGTCATGTAAGGGAGCGTCACGGATCTCGAGGGCAGGTGGGGTCGAGGGGCACCCTGCCCTCCCCGCAAAGCCCCCATGATGCTCTGCGGGTTTCTGGGGTTGCCCATCACAAAACCCTCAGGGAACCCCACTCTCTAGGACCTCCTGGCCCACCCCACACTCACTCTAGTGGCCAATAGCTCCTCCCCCCCGGTGCATTCGAACCTGGCACCCTCCAGAAACTCTCCCACTCCGCAATGGCTTGACGGGGCTTCCTCCAGCCTGCAGGGCAATCCGAGCCAGGCCCAGGGTCCCCCGAGACCCCTCTGTGTTTGGTGCACCTGCCCCAGGCTCACGTGTATGCGTGCCCCTCCCCCCCCACAGCTGCCCCTGTCCAGCAGTCACCTGAATGTGTACAGCAGTGACCCCCAGGTCACAGCCTCCATGGTGAGCGCCACCAGCAGCTCCTGCCCGGCAGACCTGACCCAGAAGCACGAGCTCACAGGTACCCGCCCCCCACCCCCTGGACCCCCCCACTCCGCCCTCCTCTCCTCTCCTCAACCCCTCTCTCCTTCTCTCCGCCCCCAGATGCAGAGAGCCGGGCGCTGGCCAAGGAACGGCAGAAGAAAGACAACCACAACCTGAGTGAGTGGCAGCCTGCCCCCCACCCCCACCCCGGGCCTTGCACCATTGCAAGAGAAATGGTCCAGAGTGGTGGGACTCGGCGGCCCTAGTGCTTGAGGGGGGTGAGGGACTCGATCAGACTGCTTAGATCTTCATTATTTCTTTTTTGAGTTCAGATTCGTTTCTTTTAAAAAGTGTTGTTCTTGGGGCTGGAGCGATAGCACAGCAGGTAGGGCGTTTGCCTTGCACGTGGCCGACCCAGGTTCGATTCCCAGCATCCCATAGGGTCCCCTGAGCACCGCCAGGGGTAATTCCTGAGTGCATGAGCCAGGAGTAACAACACCTGTGCATCGCTGGGTGTGACCCAAAAAGAAAAAATAAGTGTTGTTGTTGTTGTTTTGATTGACTCACCATGAGATACACAGGTACAAAGTTATTATTTTGGTTTGGGGCAACACCAGGCGATGCTCAGGGCTTACTCCTGGGTCTGCACTCAGGAGTCACTCCTGGCAGTGCTTGGGGCACCAGCTGGAGATCCAACCTGGGTCAGCTGCGTGCAAGACGAACACCCTCCCGGCTGAGCTCTTGCCCCAGCCCCTCAAAGCTGTTCATGGTTGGGTTTTAGTCATGTCATGTTCCAGCACCCGCCCCTTCACCACTGGGCATTTCCTCCCACCAGTATCCCTAGTTTCCCTGTGGCAGCTACTTCTCTCTCTCTCTCTCTCTCTCTCTCTCTCTCTCTCTCTCTCTTTCTCCCTCTTTCTGACATTCTCTCCTCCCTTCCTTTCTCTCTCCCTCATTTTTCTCTTTCCCCTCTCCATCTCTCTCACCTCTCTCTCTCCATCCCTTCCCCTCTCTCTCCCTCTCTCTCCATCTCTCTCTCCTTCTCTCCCTCTCTCTCTCCATCTCTCTTCTCTCTCCATCCTTTTCCCCATCTCTCTCCATCTCTCTCCTTCTCTCCTCTCTCTCCATCTCTCTCTCCTTCTCTCCTTCTCTCTCCATCTCTCTCCCCCTCTCTCTCCATCTCTCTTCTTCTCTCTCCATTTCTCTCCCCATCTCTCTCATCTCTCTCCCTCTCTCTCCATCTCTCTCTCCTCTCTCCATTTTTCTTCCCCCTCTCTCCATCTCTCCCTCTTTCTCCCACTCCCTCTCCATTTCTCTCTCCTCCCTCTTTATCTCTCTGTCTCTTTCTCTCTCTCCCTCTCTCTCCATCTCTCTCTCCTTCTCTCCCTCTCTCTCTCTCCATCTCTCTTCTCTCTCCATCCTTTTCCCCATCTCTCTCCATCTCTCTCCTTCTCTCCTCTCTCTCCATCTCTCTCTCCTTCTCTCCTTCTCTCTCCATCTCTCTCCCCCTCTCTCTCCATCTCTCTTCTTCTCTCTCCATTTCTCTCTCCATCTCTCTCTCCTCTCTCCATTTTCTTCCCCCTCTCTCCATCTCTCCCTCTTTCTCCCACTCCCTCTCCATTTCTCTCTCCTCCCTCTTTATCTCTCTGTTGCTCTCTCTCTCTCTCTCTCCATCTCTCTCTCCCCCTGTTACCTAACAGGTACGCCGTGTGTCCTTTCAGCACCCAGTCCCTGCCCATGTCCCCTTTCTCTTTAGAGGACGGGACCTGGGTGCTCACTGATAAGGAGCAGCCCCTCCCTTGGGGGCCTCCCTGCCCCCTTCCCTTGGGGACCTCAGTCCGTGGGTTGCCCCTTCCTTCCCTGGAGAGCCCAGGCTGCTCCTTGGCCGGCCCCTTTCCTGCCCTCTCACTGCCCACCCGTGTCGCCCTTAGTTGAGAGAAGACGGAGGTTCAACATCAATGACCGCATCAAGGAGCTGGGAATGCTGATCCCCAAGGCCAACGACCTGTGAGCCTGCGGGGTGTCTGGGGGGGGGGGAGGCGGGGCGGGGCTGGGAGGCAGTTGTGCATGGCCGGAGAATTTCTAGGCTGTTCTGCTGGCCCACCTAAAAACCAGAGTTTCTCCACTGGAGGAAAGAGCCTTCTCTGGTGGCTGAGACAGGGAAGGTCAAGACCAGGGAGCTTCCCGGAGGAGGAGTCAGGCTTGGGACAGTTCGGAGAAGGAGGGTGTCCTGGGGGTGGGGTGTGGCGGGTCCTGCAGGTGGGAGCCTCTCTCCCAGGAGATCCGCGGCCCAGTGGACGGCTCACGGGCTTCTGGCTCTGCAGGGACGTTCGCTGGAACAAGGGCACCATCCTCAAGGCGTCCGTGGACTACATCCGGAGGATGCAGAAGGACCTGCAGAAGTCGCGGGAGCTGGAGAACCACTCCCGGCGCCTGGAGATGACCAACAAGCAGCTCTGGCTTCGCATCCAGGTCCGGAGGCGGGGGGGGGGGGGGGGGGAGGCAGGGTGGACGGGCCCAGTGGAGGGGGCTGCTGTGGCCATCGGGAACACACAGAGCCCGTCTGTTCTAAGTGGCAACGGGCTGGAGGGGATTTCTGCTGTGATTTTTGGCGGGGCCACACCTGGCGGTGCTCAGGGCTCACACCTGGGCTCTGCGCTCAGGATTTTCCCCAGGCGGTAGTCAGGGTAGTCAGATGGGATGCCGGGGGGGGGGGGGGATCGAACCCGGGTCCTCTGAGAGCACCTTCCTCCCCGCCCCAAGTCAGCTGTCAGTCAAGCGCACGGTTCCCAGTCACTGCGAGCGCCTTACCGCACCTGACCTCCAGGGGGCGGCAGCGAGCAAGCGCCCTGGCCTTGGCGCCTGGCACCGGGGATTTGTGTCAGATATCCTGACCCACCCAGGTGGCAGAGCGCCACCCCCCTCCACGCCCCCAACCTCATCGGGGCCCCGTGGTGTGGCCTGTTGGCACCACCTTCGTCTTCGTGGTCCCTGTGGAGCCTAATGTCATTTGGGAACGGTGAGGGTCCTTGACCAGCGAAGAACGTCGTGGACTGGCGTTGAGAGGGTCCACCCCACAGCATCCGGGCCCCTCCCCCGTCCAGCTCATGTCCACGGCCTGCAGCATGGATAGTCCTGTAGGCGGGGGAGAGCCGGGCGCTTTGCTCATACAGGAGATGGTATCTTGGCCATCGCCCCTGGCTCCCACGGGCCCGCGTCAGAGTGGAAAATCAAAGCTTCCTGCAGGAACCCTCATGCTCAAGGCGTGGCACAGGGCCTGGCTGGTTGGCGGCCGGTCTAGTCTGGGCAGGTCTGTTGTCTCGACCCAAACAGAGAGGGAGCGGGCTGGGCTCGGCTGAAACAGACGCCAGCCCGACCGGGCAGAACTCACCGCGGTGTTTAGGTTGCAAACTCGCAGTTTTTTGGGGGGGGGAAATAAATAAAAACCCAACACCAAACCCAAAAACCCGCTGGTCTAGACCCCAGCGCAGAGACCCCTGACATATCTGGGCAGCCCCCCTCACGAACCCCTCCCGGCCCCCTGGGATCTGCCGCCTGTCTCGCATGGGCGCCCAGTGCTACAGTTTGTGTGAACGCACACTGAGGCGTGAACCACCGGTGGTCCGCACGGGCACTGCCGTGCTCAGGCTGCTGCCTTCCTGGCTCTGTTCTGACCCCCCCACCCCCCCAAGTATTGCCCATTTTGAGGAATGGCCCAGTGTTTTCTTCCAGACCAGATATTTTGTGTTCGGGGCATCAGGAGCCCGGCATCAGGCTGCGGTGGCCCTGGGGCACATGGCTCAGAGCTCTAGCGGCAGGTCATGAGTTCGAATCCCCGGTGCCCCACACGTGCTGCGTCCTGCCCGCCTGTGTACCCTGGCCCTGGGGGGTGCCCAGCCGTGTGCCTGGCCCTGGGGGGCACCCAGCCCTGCCCTGCCTCTCTGCCCACAGGAGCTGGAGATGCAGGCGCGCGTGCACGGCCTCCCCACCACCTCCCCGTCCGGCATGAACATGGCCGAGCTGGCCCAGCAGGTGGTGAAACAGGAGCTGCCCAGCGAGGAGGATGCGGCCGAGGCCCTGCTGCTGGGGGCCGAGGTGCCCGACGCCGAGCCCCTGCCGGCCCGGCCCCCGCAGGCCCTGCTGCCCCCGGCCGCCCAGCCCCCCCAGCCGCCGTCCCCCTTCCACCACCTGGACTTCAGCCAGAGCCTGAGCTTCGGGGGCGACGAGGGGCCCCCCGGCTACCCTGAGGCCCTGGGGCCCGAGCACGGCTCCCTCTTCCCCACCCTGTCCAAGAAGGACCTGGACCTCATGCTGTTGGACGACTCCCTGCTCCCGCTCTCCTCCGACCCCCTCTTCTCCACCATGTCCCCCGAGGCCTCCAAGGCCAGCAGCCGCCGGAGTAGCTTTAGCATGGAGGAGGGGGACGTGCTGTGACCCCCCCCCCCCCACCGGCCCCGCGCCAGGGACGGGGGGGGGGGGGCACCCAACCGCCTCCCCTGCCGGCAGCACTGTGTGTGACGCAGCCGCCTGCCCACTGGCCCCTGTGGACTTAGAGCCCGCTAGGCAGCCTGTGGGGGTCTGGAGAAGCCCCCCCTGCCCCCCGAGGGCGGCCCCCACTTCCCCCCCACCGCATGGGAGATGAAACCAGGAGGGGCAGCGCAGCGGGGACTGGCGGAGGGGCAGGGGCCAGGTCCCCACCGCATGGACACATCGGGTCGGGCAGTGCGGGAGCCTCCTTCTCTGGGGCAGCCCACCCTGGTGTTTGGGGGGGGGGGCTCGAAGCCAGGGGCCCACCCTCTAGCCTGCTCCTCCCCCACTCACGCGGCCGGGGGTCCCCCCCCCCATCCCCTTCGGTGCTAGCAGCTCTCCACGCGGTGGCGTGAGGGCAGGGGTGTCCAGAGGAGGGTGTGGGTTCAGGTTGGAGTAGTGCGGGGTCCTTCCTGGACGCGCGGACCCCCGCCGGGCCCCCCCTCCCCATTTGTGCCTTTAGTAAACACTGTGCTTTGTACCTGCTTGTCCCGTCTCCTTGGTCTGGGGAGGGGGAGCTGGCGGAACAGGTGGGGGTTCAGCCCAGGGGGCCCTTTTCTGATCCCGAGCTGGACTTCCTCGGGAGGGCGGACGGCCAGGGTGGCGGGCTGAGTGACAAGCCCCATACCCCGCCAGCAGGCTGCCCACCGTCCTCGGAGGGGGCGCTGTCCCCCTCTCGGCCACCAGATGGCGCCGCGGCCACACCATCTCCCTCCCGCTGTTTCCCATCTGGTGCCCGCCTGGGAGACTGGCGACCCCCTAAACCGGCACCTTTTGTTTTTGAAGGGGGTCCCGGGGCCACCCCCAGCGGGATTCAGGCACCGCCGGGCTGGTGTTTCCCTGCCAGGTCCTGAGCGTGCAGAGCTGCCCAGGGGCCACTGAGGTCACCCCGAGGGGGCTGGTGATGCTTGGGGGGCCACTAGGGGCCCAGGGTGGAGTAGGGGTCCGGTGCCCACCAGCCTGGACCCTGACCTGCCCTGTGCCCGTCTCCCCAGCCCATGTTGACCCTAACCGCTGCTTCTGAGGGGCCCTGGCCTGGGTGGTCTGGCCTCCGCGCTCTCTGACCTGTGTCTCGGAGAGAAACGGCAGGACTGGGACTTCTCTGGATTGGAGGTAAGAGGGACCGTGTCAACTGCTTGGACAGTAGGTAGCACACGATGCTGGTGGCCCCAAGGATTCAGGACCTGGCCCCGGGTGCGGTGGCTCAGAGCTCTAGTTTTGTGACCTCGCAAGCAGCAGGTCATGAGTTCGAATCCCCGGTGCCCCGCATGTGCTACATCCTGGCAGTTCCTTTGTCTATGGTCCCTGGTGCTGCACAACAAAGCCTGGGACCCCGCTGTTCCTGTGCGCAGGGCAGCGAGGCCCTGGACAGCCTTGTCCCCTCTCCTGGCTCCAGTTCCCCTGCCCCACACAGGTCCAGGGAATATTGTGGGGAGACAGGCTTGGGGGGCAGGAGGGGGTGGCTTCAGGGGACCCAGTTCTTCCCCTTGCAATCACAGACCAAATAGCATCTCCCTCCCTGAGAGGCTGAAGGGCCTAGTTTTAAAAAATCCGAGGATGAAAATGGCTAAGAGGGCGATTTCCTCTGCAGAGAGCTGTGGGTGGGATCAATGCAGCGGCCCTTAAGGAGCGAGGGGGGGGGGGGGCTGCAGGGCTGGGCTCTGGGCGACCTTGTGGGAGCTGCTGACCCTCCCCTGCTGTCCGGGCTCGCTTTCCCCTGGATTCTGGCTGGAGACAGACACAGGGTGGTCTTGGGGCTGTGTTGGTAGCAGAGGGGCTCTGGGGCCCACCCTTCCTGCTAGAGACAACCCTTCTATGCGTGTTCTTCCCTTTCACCCTGGGGCCACCCAGGGGAGTGGGCTGGCGGATCGCGAGGGCCACTGACCCCCCCGCCCCCCCAAAAAACCACCCTTAGTCCAGGGCGGTTCTGCAGGGAAGGGGGGCAGGGCTGGGGGGGGGGGGCGCGTGAGTGGTGTTTGCCCACCAGAGGGCGCTGCAGGGCCAGGCCCCCCGCTGGGCAGAACCGTGTCCTGCAGGTGTGGCTGTGCGGGCCCCTGACAGTCATCAAGGGATGTCCATGTGCAGGGCCGTCAGCTCTGGACTGGAGATGCCGGACAGACACCCTCAGCCGGCCGCATCAGCACCTCTCTGGGGGCAGGTTTATTTTCCTTTCCCTGGTGGTGTCCGTCTGGGGCAGGTGCCAGCCGGGCGCGTGTGCTAGGGGCGTTCTTCAGGAGAACGGGTGGGTCGGTGGGGTCATCTGGACGTGGGGTGGCCTGTCCAGTTCTCCGGGGAAGATGCCCCCTCCCTCGAGGGTAAATGAGCACATTGCAGGGGCGTGAGCAGAGGGGCGGGCTTGCCGGGACTTCCTAGGGTGCAGGGGACCCGCGTCCCTGTCTGCCTTCAGGCTTGGGTAGATGGGCTTCTCACCCTGTCTCATTCCAGGGGACAGGGCAGAGATCCACAGCCCAGGGGCTTGCCCGGGGGTCTCTGGCACCGGGCAGGGGCGCTGCTTGTTGACTCTACTTCCTCAGCCTCAGGAGGCCCCAGATATCCTGAGTGTCCACTTACACAGCCTGGTGGTCTGAAAACCAGCCCAAGTGGAGGCTGGGTGTGTGTGTGGGGGGGGGGGGGAGATGCAAATCTGCGGAATGATCTGGAATCTCACAAGTTTCTACTCACCCTCCCATCCTCCCACTCCCTTGCCCCAAACCTGAGATTCTTTTTTTTTTTTTTTTTTTTTTTTGCTTTTTGGGTCACACCCGGCGATGCACAGGGGTTCCTCCTGGCTCTGCACTCAGGAATTACCTCTGGTGGTGCTCGGGGACCCAGTGGGATGCTGGGAATCGAACCTGGGTCGGCCGCGTGCAAGGCAAACGCCCTACCCGCTGTGCTATTGCTCCAGCCCCTAAACCTGAGATTCTTCCTGTGCTGTTTGGAGCCACTGTCTGGGATAAGGGTCTGATGCACCATCCCCAACCCCCAAGCACAGATTCTGAGGGAAAAAAGAAAAAAAACCCAGGGCCTGGAGCAATAGAGCGGCAGACCGGGTTTATTCACTGCATCCTACGCCTGCCAGGAGGAACTCTTGAGCCCTGAGCACCAGTGTGTGGGGGGGGGAGGGAGAGAGAGAGAGAGAGAGAGAGAGAGAGAGAGAGAGAGAGAGGAGAAAGAGGGAGAGAAAGGAAGAGAAGGAAGAGGGAAAGAGGGAGAGAGAGAAAGAGAGGGAGAGAGATAGAGGAAGAGAGAGAAAGAGGGGAGAGAGGAGAGAGAGAGAGGGGAGAGGGAGAGAGGAAGAAAGGAGAGAGAAGGAGAGGAGAGAGCCCACAGTCTCCGTCCCCCTTTTTCCCCTTTGCTGTCTCCCTAACGGGCTGCACGCACGTCCGTGGTGATTTGGGGGGGCCCCACCCTGGCTCTGCTCCTTGGTGGTGCTCGGGGGACCCTATGAACGTGCCGGAGAAGAACCGGAGTCGGCTACGTGCAAGGCCAGTGCCAACCCGCTGTGCCTGGCTCCAGCCCTGCTCGCCTGGACCCCGGCTTAGCCGACCCCCTCAAGTCACAGCCTCATCCACCCCCTCGCTGCCCGTGTCCCCCGGAATGCCGTGACTCTCCTGTCCCTCACCCCTTCGGACCCTCTTGGGTGCGGGGCAGCCCCAGGCCCCTGTCGCCTCCTCTTTCCCGCGCCCCCCCCCCCCCCGCGTGCTCTCTTCCGAGGGGGCAGTGGAATTTATACAATATTTAAGCCGCCAGAGCCGAGCCCGGGAAGATATTATTAATGTAGAAGGGACGGCTGCAAATGCTTTTGGACCTGGTTACAATTAGAGGGTGATTTTTCTAAAGGTCAATGAATTCCGATAATATCCACAGGGGGGAAGAGAAATTTAATACCTTTTTAGTGAATTAATTAATTATAATATGATATCGGCTTGGGGTTCTTTTCCAGAGTGATTAAGGGAGCGATCCGTCTTCCGCGAGGAGGCCGGGAGCCGCGGCCCCTGCCAGCACAGCCCCAGCCTCGGGGCCAGGGTGAGGTACTCATCCCTCCCCCCACCCCCACCCCCGGGCCCGTGTCGTGATGGGCCTGAATTGCGGAGGCGAGTTAGGGCCTCTCAGTCCTGGGGAAACTGAGGCACACTGGCTAGGAGCGAGGATGACCTGGGTGACTGGAAATAACGACAGAGCTCCCACATCCTCACACCAGGCCTCTGGCCGGGGCAGCTGGGGCAGGACTCTTAGAGGCGGTCAGAGGCCGCCATGGGGTCACTCCTGGGGATGGGATGCCCTTGGCCTCATCCCGGAGCCCTGCAGCCCCTGGGTGCGTCCACGTGGCATCCGTCCCCCCAGCAAAGCCGCATGGAGCCACGCAGGGGGTGCGACTTCGGGGACACAGGCCGGCTGCGATGAGGTAGGGCTTCTGAGAAGGACTCGGGGCACAGCCTACTGAGGGACCCGGTGTCTGAGGCCGGTGGAGGGGCCTGTGGGGGCTGGGGGCCGCTAGCCCGCCCCTCCGAGTGGAGGGAACGTTGTTCTCATGGCAGACAGGCTGGGCTAGGTGGGTGCAGCTTCCGTGCCTCAGTTCCCCTCTGGGGAGATGGAGGAGTGGGGGAAGCCGTACCAGGCACTTCTCAGACGTGCCTCTGACTTCTCAGCCTCCAAGTGACGTCTGGGTGGTGGGGGGCCCAGCCCTGGCCCTGGGGGGCTCCCGTCCTTTGGCAGGGGTGGGGGGTAGGAGGAGACTTAGCCCCCTCCCCAGCGCCCGCAGCCCCCTCCCCTCGGGGCGCTGGCCAGGAGGGCCTTCCCATTGTACTATCTTTGGGCCCTAAATTAAAATTGATGACATCTTGAAATGAGCAGTGAGGGTAATTTTGCTTCTGAGCCGGGATGCTAATAAGGCCCCTTAATGGTGCGAACGCCGGGCTGACGGGTCGTGTGTCACGCGGTGAGGGGGGTAATGGCCGCGGTTAGTGCCGGTAATTACACCCTGTCTCGCCGTATTTTGGCAGGCCTGGTAGGAGAGCAGGGCGCCCCCACCCACCGCGGCTCTGACAGCCAGAGACCCCCCGGCCAGGCCACTCTGTCCTCCCAGAGCGGGGCTGAGGACCCACGAGTGGCGGGTCCTGCCGGTGTACCCCCCCATTCCCCCCGCGGAGAGCCTGTCTGCTCACTCAGGTCTCCCATGAAGCACACACATGCACACGCGTGCACACATCATGCATGAAAACACACATAAGTACGCACCGACAGGCACGCTCACATACAGACATGCACGCATGCAGTACCCATGCAGATCCACACATGCGCACAAGACGCATGCAGATACCCACGCACGCTCACGTGGGCGCACACAGATACACGCGTGGACCTGCAGTCGCACTGCGCTCACATGCTTGCGCCTACACACAGTCAGTCGCAGGCACACATGCCCATCCACGCAGATGCATGCAGACCACAGTAGACACACGAATACAGCCACGTGCAGAC